CTTGTAAACCAATAGGTGGTACGTGTGAATACCGCCAAAAAGTAGTTTATTACCTTGCATGATACATTATTAGACCATCCAAGCGACGATCCCAAAAAAATTTGAATGAATTTCATAAGATGAGTGAGCAAGGCACATTGATTCAGAATAATAACAACAAATAGCCAATTGCCGACACTTAGCTTACGTGGCTTTGGACGTCGAAACGTAATAAATGATAGACCATTATTGAAAAAACCAATAATAAAAATAATAAAAACTACAATGATATACACAAGCTGCACAGAAAGTCGATGGAATGCTAATAGTGAATCCAAAGTAAGTGTAAAAGGTTGCATATTGAATTCGCACAGGCGACCGCTGTAACAATAAGGACACAAACAAATGAAGTCATTGGAATTTTGATGGTCACCTCGAACACATTTTCCATCTGACAAACAAGAGTCACATTGATCGAGTAAAGGATCAAAATTAAAACAATCAGCTTGCACTTGGTGACTCTGACACAAGCACAGATAAGTTGAATCATAAAAGCATAAGAGGGATAAATTATTTCGGCAGATCTGATGATACTTGAAGACAAGTGGTACATCATCATCTAGAATTAAAAAACTGTCAATACAATCTCTACGAGATTAAAATGCTCTTATTATGTATGCTAAGACATATTTCTCCATTATTGCTTTCTGTACAGAATAGAATTTCAACAAGTAAATATTTCATATATAGAGAACTAGATTTCATTTGCACATGATTATCGATAGTTGCTGGAAGGTGTCTGTCATGGTCAGTGGCCAGGAAAGGATGGAAAGGGATCGCTATCACAATTTGTAATTGGGGGTAGGAGTGCGGGTCCAAATTTCAGTCCCATACACTTTCAAAAATCTTTCAGATCGTATTTCGGAAAAAAACAATAATGATATTTCGACTCTTACTATTAGTTTGGATTAATGACGAAGTGTGCAGACAATGTTCAGGCTTTGAAGTAATATGAATTACAGATATATTTGGTTGAATATAAAGAATGTAATAATTAGTACTTGTCAAACTAACATGAAGCTTGAGAATACCAAGAACAGGAGCTTCAACTTGTGCATGTCGAAAATGTAGATGCGTTGAAATTCCAAAAAACAGTTGTTGTTGACGAAGAATGAGCTCAAAAGTACTATTATCAACATCGTAATATTGAACAACAGATGCGAGAGTGTTACTTGGTAATGACGAAGTTGACAATTGAATATTGATTGAACTTTTCTCGTACTGACATAAGTCACCATAGAAATGTTCATGGCAAATGCATATGAATTGATGTATTTCAGTAGGATCAAATGTATGATAACACGTTCCATTATGGTGACAAGGATCTGATTGGCATGCGTCATATTTCAAATTACATCTAGAGCCAAATCGATTGTATGGACAAATGCACATTGGTTCTTTGTTACTTGACAATAGAGGACGTGCATTTGGCCTACAGATCGATTCGATCGAACAATATTTCGAGCAATTGTTATCGAATAATTTACAGTCATGTCCATAGAAGCCATGCTTACAGGAGCAAGAATGTGTCCATTCCTGATTGTTAAAGAACGCTACACAAATAGAATTTGAATTGCATGTAACATTGACACAATGATTATGAGTTCGATTTAGGTATGTTTCTGGAAATCGTAGAGGAATAGCCAGTCGAAATGAAGGTAGGTAATCGAAATAAATCAAATAGTTCCATACAGCGATTACTTTGATATCGTTTGGTGTCAATTCGAATGCTTCAAAGCGCACCGAATATGGATGGTTGTTAACTATATCTGTTCGATTGAAATAACGTTTTTGTTTGTGCTTTAATAATTGTTCTGAACGCGAATATACTAATTGAAACTTGTGCTTTGTATAATATATTTGTTCAAATGTTGGTATGACATTGAATTCGAAAGAATCGATTACTTTGTTGTCTTCGAATAGAAAAAAAGCAATAACTTTAATGATGATACTTTCTTTAGTTGACTGTTCATAATCAGTATGAGTAAAATTAAGGTGTGTGATGATTGAAATACGATCGCTAAAATATTGACATCGGTTTCCGTAGTATGTTCCAGAACAAAGGCATCGAATATGTGTATTCATTCGTACAGCCAAACCTCGATTACATATGAACGCACTACTCATTTCATCTCGATCGACAATCGACTTTTTATTTGCATTGACGATACCTTTTAATTTTTTCGACGCCAACGGCACTTCATTGACCTTGAAGGGAAAAGATATCCAGCTTATTTTACGTGCCGTTTTTTGTTGCTCGTGTTTACCCATGCGATATCCGATTCGATCTCCATTAAATGGACACCAATATTCGTCTTCCCCATGTTCACAGTCGTTTGTTCCGTTGCAGCGAGCATTGTGAATGCATTCGCCATTGAAACATATGACATCAGACGCACCGTTGCATGAGACATTTGTAGATCTGTGAAAACATAAATGACGATCATCTTCTTCATTGGGACAGCGCTCGGAGCATATCCATAGGTAATAGATGCAAACTGAGTGATGAGTGCAGTGAAAATCAAATCCTTTCATTTTACCTATGCACCCGTAAGCTGTATTTCTTTCGTCTAAACCACCATAGCAGTGATCAACACCATCTCCGATCAATTTTAAACTAATACATGGCCGATTTCTACCGACATCAGTAGGATTCGTTGCATTGGCTAATAAGCATGGAAATTCTAGTGAAACATTGCAAATGTCAGAGAATGGCTGCGTTTTGTATCGTGTCACGCAAGAATAAATTATCTGACTTAGATTTCGAATAGCTTGATTACGATCCCATATATATTCATACACAAAAATACCTTGTTCATCGCTTGCATCACTACAATCCCATTCACCATCACATGTCCATACTACAGGAATGCATTGGTTCGATTTACATCGAAATGACCCTTTCGAGCATATCCATTCCTTACAAAATGCTGAATGTTCGTCCACAGGTGGATTTGAATCCCAGTGACTATTACAATAAGCATGATGAGTAATTTTTTTGCTCAGATATTGATCACCGAATTTAATTGTCTTATTCATAGATGACTCTGCAATATACGTTCTCAAAAATCGACAACCATCATCATTTCGACGATTGCACAGAATATTACGAAGCAATGTACCATTTCCAAACACGTATACATCGAATATATTTTTGCAGTCTGCAACTTTATCAGTCAGTTTCGGTGCAAGAAGACATGATAGCTGAGTAGATGAACACTGAAAACGATACTGTTGTAATTTTATACATGAACTAACTAAAGTAGTCCTGTTTTCGTCTTCAGCCAGTAGACAATCAGCGTTTCCATCATTTATACGATATGGAGAGATACACATGTGTGACTCTGAGCACACATTGGCAGAATAGTATGATTGTCCAGAAAATGTATTCGAATCGTTCCAACAATTAACAGGAAAGAATTTTATAAGAGCCGATGTATTTCGTGTGACGAAACGGTTTGCACAGAATAATAGGTCTTTATTGCCGTTTCTGACAAATGTGATATTGTAATCAAGATAAACAATTTTCTTGGTGAAAGAGGCTTCTACTCGATATCCACGACATTGAATGCTCCCAGACAGTACAATTTTCGTGGGTGTCTTATCAAGATACTTGTCTTGCGCAGCATAGAAGAAAAAGATATATGGTCGAATCAGTCCCAAATTTGGATATGGAATCATTTGTGGATCATCACACAGTAAAAGCATGATATCTTTGCAAGATACGGTCCCATTACATGGACAATCACGTTCAAAACCATTGGTTAAAGCACATTTCAGCAGATAGGTACATGTTTCCGGTGAACTTGCATTGATTGTCGTTGCGTCATATCGTAGATCGTCATAGCCTCGTTTAAATTCGCACATACCACTTGGTAAAGTCCAGGCTTCCTCGGCAATCCACGCTTCGCACATATGATTAAAATTGCGAAGATTATTACAATTGTACTCTAGTACAGTTAGCGTCTGAAAAGGCAGCTGGCTATAAAATGGTACGTACTCTCCGTCCCCACATGGCCACGCACCTCTACGACCTCCAAACTCGTCACAAACGAAAGTGTATGATGTAGCAAAGCAAGTAGGATCGTTTTTTCCTGATTCATCACTGTGGTCCATACAATCTTGTTCACCTATGAGTAAGTAATAATTCATTTTCTTTTCTGAAAGTTGTTTATAAAAACTGCTCACCGTCATAAAAGTAAACATCCGGAATGCACATTCCATTACTACATCTATATTCATTTTCGTCGCACTCATTATATTCCAATTTGTCACAATTTTCTTCATCTAATCCATCCATACACTGTTGTTCACCATCACATATGTTTCTCCAATCAAGACATAGAATACCAAAGTTGCATGATAATGTTTCATAACAAATGATTGCGGCCCATCTTTGATTTTCCATAATATCTTTCTTTTTTTCGAATTGAATCGTAAACGAATCAAAAATTGATACAGTATCAAACAACAATTCATATTCGCAGTACTTGCCAAATGATCCATGTTGGGTACAGCAGCAGAGAAAATCGCTTGTATTAAAAATTGCTGATTGGCTGTAGAAAAAATAGGCATAATTATCGACCATTTCTATACTCGAACTCCATTTTAAAATAGTGCTAGGTGATGTATTATTTGCTAATAGATCCTTGAAAAACAACTTTTCCCCGTTACTTGTACACTCTGTATATGATGATTGAACCAAGGACGAATTATCCGAACGCAAGCAGTACTTGATTGTAGAACCATCCTTCGATTTGTAGTAGACACAATCTTTGTTCTCTCCCAAACCATTAGTCTCCGTTTCATAAAGCAACACATAACCGTAACTATATACCAAAGCAACAGCTATAATCAATATAATGCTGTACGATGTCATAGAAATGTCTAAGTTCTGAAATAGAAAGAAAAACATGTTTAGAAGAGAGCTGATAAATTTCACATATGAATTGGTATTTTAGCTTCTTAATTCAGTTGATATCAGGCCTACGACAGTTCACAATTCTAAGAACCGGGTACAACGACCAGTTCAATTTTTTAATCAGGGGGTGTCACAGATCCATTTGATATTATAGCCAGGAGAGTTATTTCAGGAATCGGATTTTAAATGAATGTTTATAAGACTGAAGAAATCCTCTCAGAACTCGAATTGGGGAACCACATCAGGACCACTAGCATTGAAATGCGACAGAACCCAACGCTACTGCTGGGATTGGATCTTAATTGACTACTTCACTAATTAATTAGACTTCAATCATCGGATCCATTAATGGTTCCGTAATCTGGATTTCCATTGAATTTCGTCGATTGGTGAAATCCGATCGGAATCGTTCTCAGATTTATTCACCTGGGTACTGACAACGTCTGAAATCTTTTCCTAATAATAATTTTTAGTTCACGTTTCTGTTGATTACAGAATGAAAAACACAGTCTTCATGAAAAAGAAGAGAAGCAAATAAATTTACTGTTAGAAAAATACGAACTACTGATATTTAATTGAAATCTCGAAAGTACGCCGGTCAAACAGATTTCTAATTATAAAGTGCTTTAAAGGATAAAACAATCAAAGCAATCTGTCTTTTGGTTAGAGAATAATGAGGATTCTCCAGTGATAGAAACTCATAACTAAACATACATCAAATCAGTTTGGATTATTTTTGCTTCGAATGGAGAAAAACGTCCCTATAGATCGAACTACGCGGTATTATATTTTTCCATCAATAGACAACTACAGTAGAAGAATGCAATGATGCAATAGAACGTCAAAAGATATATTTCAGCAGCCTTGTTTTAGCAAGCATACTAGAATCAACAGAAAGATCCCAGATCCTATGAATACTTCTTGCTATTCTGTTTTCATTCAATCGTCTATTAAAGTGAATGATTCATTCTGTCATTATTGACTTGATTGTCAGAAGCAGGCATTCTTCTATATTTCTGACGCGACAGTTTATTGATATAGTTCGCAGTCAACGAGATAAATTTGAAGTATTTAGATTGTGTTATTGAATTTGTGTGAATGTAGTCCATTCATCGCTTATCGTTTAGTTAAACTTTTAATATTGATCCAGACTATTATCATACATATAGTCAGCACACATTTCTATCAAACTGTCAACAAAAGCAAACATTCAGTACTTGTAAATCGGCTCAGATAACATGAAAAAATTGTATTCCAGAGATGGCGCAACATCGTGATCCTAGAAAAAACCGCCGATTTGCTTCAGTTTTCACTACATAGGTCATATATCTCAATCTTGACTGTTTGAAGGGATCGAGAGTTGAATATAATCAATGACCAATAATTTTTGGTAGAAATTAAAAAGTCCATGAAAAAATAGTTCATCTGTAATTTGATTTTTATAACCTTTCTCATTGAATGGGACATTTGGTTTAGATGTTTTTACACTTTTAATGGAAGCAACTAAAACCTCTATTTATGAGCACCTTCTTCCAGTCCCAAAAAGTGCTCATATTAGAGAGGTTTTACTGTATATTATCTTAATAATTTTCTTCTCAAGTATTCAGCTGTGATCAAAGGTCTTCTAATCTTCAGAGAAATGAAATTGAAAATAGTATTGATTTTTATTTGGTCTGTACAACTCGATTTTGATGGTCATAAAAATGTGAACTCAACTCATTTAAGATATGGACTAATTGTAGGTGCGAAAAAAACTGAACAACATATGGAAAGATGACTCAATCGATAATTCGAAATCATATTTGCGATGCCAATGTGTCATACACAACAAGAACAGCTGAACTGATACAATTCATTTTTGCACGCTCAAATTGCTTGTCGCTGATTATATAATCGATTTGTTTAGAGATTTCTCTTCTTTTGATAGTTAATCGTAGAGATGAATAAACCAATCCTTGCGCTTCTTTCTCAGGCACATTTGAATTCATTTAATAATGATGAATGCGTCTAATTTCACGGTCAAAAATGAAGAGAGATAAAATCATTTCGTTTTCTTTATGTCAACAAAATAATATAAACATTTATCGATGCAGGCTACTACGTCTTATACTTCACATTCAAGTCGTTATGAGTGTGTGGGTGGGTGTGTATCAGTTACCACGATAACCTAATAGATTATTTCGAATGTTTCTAACTCAATCTTATCAAGTGGTCGAGGTAGTAGTGCTAGAGATCTTAAACCTAAATCTCAGTTGAAATGGAATGCTTCACATGGAAAATGTTATGTGGAAAAAAATATACTCATCTAGAGGAATAATTATTATATATAAATGGTTTCGCTATATCCCTTAGAAGTTTCTATATGATAAATGTCCATGGTTGGTATGATCATAGGAGTTTTTTTGTGGGTTTGTTTTTTCGATTTTTTTCGAGCATGAATGGAATGGACGTAGACCTTTTTGTATGTGTATGATCTGAAACGAAAGAAAAGGTTTTATTGATATTTCAAGAAGTTTTTTCTGAAATGCTTATTTCATACTTTGTATGGTGTATGTTTCATAAGTTATAGGGTGTATGTATAGGTTTATATAGGCTACAATGTTTAGTTTGAAGACAAGAGAGCTTTCATACGGTTAAGTTAGGTTATTATGTTGAGTCGAATGTCCATCTGTGTAATTGGTGTTTGGTTGAATATGTTAGAAAGTTTTCCTTGTAATTCATATGCACGCCGTTGATGCATATTATTTTCATGTTGAAGTATGGCATGGGCGATTTGCTCGAGTAAATGAGCATATTTATGATGAGATTTTGGTGATTGCAGTTTATTTTTCTCAATGGTGGCTATTTTGGTACGATGTTGTACGATTTCTTTGGCTTTAGTAATTGTTTGTTCAGCAATATGTTCGGCTGATGATGCTTGTTCTTGAAAGCTGAGTGATATGAATGTATGGTAGATATTGGGTAATTGTATGCTCTGAAGACTGTATGATGATTCTTGTGCATGAACTTCAAGCCATTTCTTAAATATAACAATTTCATCCATTATGTTTTGCTGTTCATTTTTAGCTTTCCATATAATCTTTGCTGAATTTATCTAAACTTAGATAGTTTTTTGAAATTTATGTAAGATTTCAGTGTGCTTACTTCCGTTTGTCTTAGCTTTAGTTCACAAAAGTTTTCAAAGAGTCGATGTTCTTCAGCATCTAGTCGGAGCATTGTTTTTCGTCTCTCAATTTCAAGTCCTAATTGATGTTGATCTTTTTTGATTAAATTATTGATGATATTGATCATATATTCCATATCAATAAAGAGTGATGCTTTTTTCATATATTCATGAATAGCCTCTTGGGCTTCTTCACATTGTAGTTTATATTTATGAAGACGTTGTTTGATTAAAGTTTTGGATCGACCATATGTGTAACACATTGAATTTTCATCAGCTGGGTGGCATATTTCTGCATTTCACTGAAAAACTCATGGGGTACCGCAGAACAACTGCCCGCTGTGGGTGAGAGAGGGTGTGGGTGCGGGTGGATGTGGATGTGTAGAATAAGCTATCACGACGCGTTTCGATCCGGCTTAATGGATCTCATCATGTGGCTTCGTATATCTCTAGTTCGATTACGAAACTTTTCAAGAAGTTTTCAAATCAATTCGAGACAGATTTAGTATGTTGAATGAATTGAAAATAGACCGAAGTATTTCTTAAGGAACAGAGAAGTTCATTCTAATAATGTGAGCGCTGACTTCTGAGGAATGTAGTAATGGTGGAAGATGAGAGTAAAATAATTATGCATATGGGTGAAATAAATTTAGTAAATGAATGCTGTGTTAATTTCTCCGACGGGTTTGATTTGTGTGAGAATAGAGGGTGTGGGTGTAAATTTAGAGTAGATCCACACCCATATCATTTCTACAAGAACTGGAGACGGGCTATCATTCCATGCATTTATCTCAGTTTCAGAATTTTGACGAAAATCGACTTTTTTGAAGGGGAGAGGCTTAAAATAAATCTTACCTTGTGGTATATACTGGTAGCACTTAGACGCGTAATAATATAATAATAACAAATTAATTCAAAATCCCGGTTCATATCAGTACTTTAAAGATATTGTGATTAAATAATATAATGTATTAACATAATGAAGTTACTAACTCTCGATGAAATCATAGATCAGTTAAATAGATACCCAGTCGGACTTGCTCCTAGTTAACTAGCATTGATGCATACCTAATGCACTCCTAACTCTATATACCCTATAATGATTTCTGGAGGTTATCCCTATATACTGCATAATGGCTTACGAACAGTATCCCTATTTATTTGATAATGAGTTGAGTTATATAGATACCCAGTCCGAGTCGATACCCAGTAACTGGCACTGGTATATACCTAACTGAATGCGATTTCCAAGTAATGCAAATGAATGTTGAAGATAACTTCTTTGTCGTCCAATCAGAGACTCATTGTTTGTTTCAAGTGGATACGGCCGCATCGAAAGTTGC